TAAGTTCCAGAAATAAATAAAACCTACTGTATGTCAAAGAACTGCAAAGCAGCCAGAAATAGTTTGACACATTTATTTAGCTAAAGCTATTTTCTCCGATATAATTAGGGGTGCGCCGATCCGATATTCAGTATCGGTATCGCTCCGATACTGCCATTTTCTGCTGGATCGGGGTATTGGTCAGACGAGACCGATCCAAATCCAATATAGTGTGCATACTATTCTGTGTAATTATTAAGCCCCACGAAAGCCACAAAAACATTATAAAGCACCATAAAATTTCCGCAGCCGCTGTCTGTCATCCTCCATTCAGCATTCAAACTGTGTGTCACGTTCAGTTATGACAGTTAAGATGATGAAACTCTCTCCAAGATGATTAAATGTTCCTAATGTTATACTTGATCTGTAAATAAAGATAAATAGTTTTGCATAAAAGGAATTTATCTTGCTGGAGTTTCGTGCTGTTTCTAAATCGTGTAAATTTCTACCGGCTATCTGGTTAGATCACAAGACTGGAGTAGAAACTAAAGAGTACTATGAATTGTTCGTCACGAGCACAGTAACTGAAATTTAAAACCGTTAAAAGAAAAGGCTCAATAAACTAACGCACATATTTAATACACTATGCGTCAATATCTCTTCACTTTGTGCTTTGAACTTCTCCATGCTGCGCACTGTGACTCCGTGTTGCTTCAAGCGTGTCATTCTGCGCACGGGATGCGCATAAGCACTTTAAGCCGCTCTGTATTTGTAGCCTTTAGTATCATAATACTTTTGCGCATAGAAAGATTATTAATAGCCTTTCTTGTTCGTCTTGTCTATCATATGTTGCTGCCTCATTACTCTGCTATACAGTTAAAAGAAATGTCTTTTAATTTATACAGTAGTCAACATTTGAAGTGGATCAAAAAAGTTAACCAAAGTTGTCCTAAGACAAGAACAAGACAAGGTATTGTTTTGGTTTTAGGACAACTTTGATGAAAGGTTTTGATCCACTTCAAATGTTGACTACTATGGTATATATTTATATATAAATATATTTCTTGTTTTTCATTAATGTATTTTACAACAATATAAAGAGCAATGTGTAGGCCTACCAGATTTAGCCCTACATGTATTCACTTTTATTTGTTACCCACTAAATAATGTATTTTTTTTCACTAAAAGTTTAGGATTTTATAAAAATTATTGTGCACTCATGATTTTTCTAGAGTAACTTTTGTTACTGAATTATCCATTAACCTAGTTTATAATAGTATTTTTGTCATAGATTTTGATTATATCTTTTTGTTTGTTATTTTTTCTTTATAATTAGGCTGTCAATATTTAGTAGATTGACCTACACATTGAGGTATAGAAATTCTACACTCATTTAAAAAAACTGCGCTGGTATCGGATCGGTATCGGCAGATACTCAGAATTTTTGGTATCGGATCGGTATCGGTTCTTAAAAAGTGTATCGAGCCATCCCTAAATATAATTCACCTATAATATTATATATCTCAACCTCCTAAAGCCATGCTCTCGTTGCTGCTGCATGAAAAGCCAGTTGAAAAGGAAATAGAGTATTCTAAGACATTTATGTGCATTTATGTAATTCTGATCTTTTAGAGTGGGAGACAGAGAGATGTGATTGTGTCTAGCGTCACAAGGTGTATGTTCTGAGCACAGTGGGCCAGATGTTTAAGCAGATTTCAGGATCTGAAAGCCAGTGAGGAGGAAACAATTAACAAGCTTCCCCCATGCGGCTGTACAGCTTCACCTTGTCTTCGCTTATCTTTATTCATTTATTCTGGGCGTATATGTGTCTGTTTGCATTCATCTTTATATTATTTTACTAAGTATTTTTTTGTCTTCACATCCTCTCGTTGTATTCCCATGTGTGTAGAACCGTATGTCTAAATCTGTATGTGTTGATCAGGTGTCTGTTCCCATATCCCAGGTTTCCATTTCTCACTTTCCATTTCCTTCTGCTGCAGTAAATTTCTGTAGCATCATAGATCATTCATCAAGACGTGGCATGTTTTATTCATCCAGCCCCCTCTTTCCTTCCACTTTCTTTCACTATCAAAACACTCACCAAAGATGGCTAGGCCCAAATTACCCCAGATGAAAAATTAAACTTTTAAGTGAAAATGGCTTTTAAATCTCAGGCTCCTTTTTTTTTTTTTTCCCCTCGATATGTCATTTGTAATTTTACCCCCGCCCCCCCCCCTCTTAACATGTATTTTTCATCTTTTCAGATGGTTTCTGAGATGTCTCTCAAGCTAATCTCTATCTTTTCTTTGAAGTTTTCTACTTTCACATACAATGTTTCACCACTGTTTTGCATGACCAAAGGAGCTTTTTTACCTGACTGTCTATCATTTCACAAACTGGATTTGCAAGTCAATATATAGTTGTTGTTTTTTTCTCCATATCATTGAACTTGGTTTGGCAAGGCACATTGCCAGTAGTGTAGCAGCTGGGGCATGATTAATATTAACCTAGTTTATAATAGTATTTTTGTCATAGATTTTGATTATATCTTTTTGTTTGTTATTTTTTCTTTATAATTAGGCTGTCAATATTTAGTAGATTGACCTACACATTGAGGTATAGAAATTCTACACTCATTTAAAAAAACTGCGCTGGTATCGGATCGGTATCGGCAGATACTCAGAATTTTTGGTATCGGATCGGTATCGGTTCTTAAAAAGTGTATCGAGCCATCCCTAAATATAATTCACCTATAATATTATATATCTCAACCTCCTAAAGCCATGCTCTCGTTGCTGCTGCATGAAAAGCCAGTTGAAAAGGAAATAGAGTATTCTAAGACATTTATGTGCATTTATGTAATTCTGATCTTTTAGAGTGGGAGACAGAGAGATGTGATTGTGTCTAGCGTCACAAGGTGTATGTTCTGAGCACAGTGGGCCAGATGTTTAAGCAGATTTCAGGATCTGAAAGCCAGTGAGGAGGAAACAATTAACAAGCTTCCCCCATGCGGCTGTACAGCTTCACCTTGTCTTCGCTTATCTTTATTCATTTATTCTGGGCGTATATGTGTCTGTTTGCATTCATAATATTCAGCAATGATGTGTTAAAATTGATCAGAAATCATGTGACACTGAAGACTGGAGTAATTCACAGAAATGGATTATATTTTAAAGTATAGTAAAATATAAAACCATTTTTTAAAATTATAATATTTCTCTTTTTTTTCAGTTGTTTGAACAAATAAATCCAGACTTGATGAGCATAAGAGACTTCTTTTTAAAAACATAAAAAATATAATGTGTCCAAACTTTTGATCGGTACTGTATAAGTAAAAATATACCAAATTTAAAATGAAATGTTGTGCAAATAAAAAGGTTAGGAATCATATATCATATTTGTTTCAATTGCGGGTGGGGGGCCCTCAACATGAACTTTGCTTAGGGCCTCCAAATGTCTAGAACCGGCCCTGGGAAACCATGATATATTTTTTTCAGGATTCTTTGCTAAATAGAACATTCAGAAGAACAGCATTTATTTGAAATAGAATCATGTCACTTTTAATCACTTTAATGAATCCTTGCTGAATAAAAGTATTCATTTCTTTAAAAAAAAAATCTTACTGACCTCAGACTTTTGAACAATAGTGTAAATGTAAAAAACATTGTTCTGTGTTAAAGACCATTGTATTAATCTGCCCAATCTGATGCAAAATGCCTGAATGGTGAATTGGGCTTCAATTTTAATGTTAAAATGTAAAGAGATATTTTGGTTGTTTGTTTTAATCAGATAAAAAAAGTCCATAAATGAGGAGGGTTTTCTAGTGGGATATCATCCCGAGTGTGTTTCACAGGCCCCCTTTATTTCACTTTAGTTTGTTTTGTCTTTGTTTTCCTTCGTTGATTGGTACAGTATATGGCGCATACCAGGAACTGTCTCTATTCAGATGCCTCATCATGCCTTGCCTGACCGCAAGTTCAACTTAGACAAATACCTGGATACAGCAGACATTGTCAGTATTTGTCTTGTCTGATTTAAATACTTGAGGCTGCGGTTTCCGGATCCTAATCAGGGCACAGCTTCTAGTGGCTGTTTTGAGTGGTTTTCAAGATGGTAGATGTAAAGAGATACTTCCATGGCTTTCATAATATAAAAAAATCATAGTTTAATGTTTCTGCCTTGCTTTTTTATTTACACTGTTCCCAAAAACTGTATAAAAAAAGGGCAGAGCAAAAATATTCAGTTGTAATGGAAAATAGATATAACACACTGTTCTCTTGTGCCATAGTGGTCCATTTTTCAGAACTTTGTACTATGTAGTACTATATATATATATGTGTGTGTGTGTACTTTTGCAGTTCACCTTCTGTTAGCAACATAATGTTCTTTGTTGGTCATGGGGCATTTTATTTGGTGATCAGATATGACAAAAAAAGTCCCTTTTTTTGTGATAAGAACTGAAGCACTGTGTCCCATTGTATTAATGTCTAGGTGGGTACTAGGCTGTATTTTTATTACTGATAAGTTACCAGCTCTTATATGACCTGTGTTCTCTCTAAAAAGGATAGCATGTAAAAATCTTTACTTTGATCTAGGCCTATTGAAGAAAGCTCAGAATGTGTTTCCTTTATAATTCATAGTGGTACCTACCAGCACCTTTTGTTTTAAGCAGGAGTATAGTAACCATTATAGGACCTTAAGAAATTGCCTTTCACTTTATATTCAAGAGTTTTGTTTTGCTTGGCTACAGTGCAAAGAAAGAATACAGGGCAGAAGCTTCTGCAAACCAGTACAGTACAATCAGTAGACTATAATCCCAATATAGCTAGAGGCGTAATTAATATTCATGAGTTAGGCCGATAAGGTATATACTGTAATACCCTCTCAAAGTACACACTTTTTATGTTGAATCTGTGTCAAACTATATGAAAAGTTAATGACACTTAGCAGTATACGAGTTGGTAATGATGATTGGGCTTTTGTATATGGAGCTTGGTGTCAGTACGTCTGCTCTCTTGCAGGAGCTGGCAGATTTGCGGCATGTCCACTCCAAGGTTAAAAAACAGTACCAGGAGAAGATGGCCGAGCTGGCACATGCTAACCGGCGTGTGGAGCAGCATGAGACAGAAGTTAAGAAGCTCCGACTGAGGGTGGAGGAACTAAAGAAAGAGCTGGGCCAGGCTGAAGATGAGGTGAACCGAAGCATTCACTCTAAATTATATTCATTATTGCTTCAAGTGTGTTCTGTGGTTTTCTTTGTTTTGGCCATAGTTCATCATTTTATTCACTTTACTAAATGTGCATGGGCCCCATCACCAAAATATGATATATTATGATATATTATATTATATTTATATTATATTATATTATATTATGTATTTTTAAACATTTTAACAAATTTATTCGGTTTAAAATTTTCAAAAATTAAATAGATATAAAATAACCATTGCAAATTATAGCAAACAGTTATTTGATTTGATTATTTGATACTTTTCCACCCATTCTTCCTGTCCGTTTTGACTGTCAGAAGTTATTTTTTTATTTTTTGATCATCAGCTAGGTGACATTGCATTAGTGACTTATTTAAATGAGCAGTATTCTCCGCAACAATTCTCAATAAATCACAGAAAACCAAATCTTTAAGTTTGCTAGACATATTTGATTATTAATAAATGTAAACTACAGTGAGGACACATTAAGACATTTTGATCCCCAAACTATGTATTATGCATTTGTTTTAGTTGGATGAGGCTCATAATCAGACCAGAAAGCTACAGAGGTCCTTGGATGAGCAGGTGGAGCAGACAGAGAACCTACAAGTTCAGCTGGAGCACCTACAATCCAGGTAACTAGATAAATATATGCACACGCACTGATTCGGCAGTCTCTCTATAATCTGTGCGATACGTTTGAGAATATTGTGTTCAGTTCAGATGTCTTTTGATCAGTAATGAATACAGGATAAGCTTCTGTTACCCAACATCATGAATAAGATGGCAGGTTTATAGTGTAAACTGTCATCGATTCCCTCGGCTTATTCTCTCTTTCAGACTCACTCTCTCATTATTCTGCCTGCATTCAGGCTTGCACCTACCCGCAGCCAATCCCAGGCTGCCTGGCTGTGGGTTACCATAGTAACAGGGAGACTTGAAGCAGTGTTGTGGGCTCAGGCCCCCCGCAGCTGGAGAGAACAGTGACAGGCATGGCAGTGTTTAGAGGGACTTTGATGGAAAGCTTCTAATGATTAAGACATTCACACGGCATAATTCCTCCACTTCACACCTGTGCGGATACATATGATTAAATTATGAGATTGTCATGAAGACATAAGTCATTATCTAAAATATGCAGCCTTACAGATTTTTTGTTCTTAACATTGGATTTGTGCAAAGTTATCTTTCCTTTATGGGTATAGGAAGAGATGACAGTTGGATTCAGTCCAGACTCCAGACTGTTGAGAAAAAACTGGCTGACTTTGTGACATAAAATATAATTGTAATGTAAAGGAGAGGTGCTTGTCTGTGCATGATATTAAGGTGTTAGGGGTGGTTGTTAGAGCATTGCTAAGTGGTTGCTAGGGCATTCTATGTGGTCGCTTACTGGTGCGTGTTAAAAGAGCTCACCCCTATGTCTCTGTGATGTTCTTGTCCTTATATACAGGTGTGTCTCAATAAATTAGAATGACGTAGAAAAGTTCATTTATTTCAGTAATTCAACTCAAATTGTGAAACTTGTGTATTAAATAAATTCAGTGCACACAGACTGAAGTAGTTTAAGTCTTTGGTTCTTTTAATTGTGATGATTTTGGCTCCCATTTAACAAAAACCCACCAATTCACTATCTCAACAAATTAGAATATGGTGACATGCCAATCAGCTAATCAACTCAAAACACCTGCAAAGGTTTCCTGAGCCTTCAAAATGGTCTCTCAGTTTGGTTCACTAGGCTACACAATCATGGGGAAGACTGCTGATCTGACAGTTGTCCAGAAGACAATCACTGACACCCTTCACAAGGAGGGTAAGCCACAAACATTAATTGCCAAAGAAGCTGGCTGTTCACAGAGTGCTGTATCCAAGCATGTTAACAGAAAGTTGAGAGGAAGGAAAAAGTGTGGAAGAAAAAGATGCACAAACAAC